TAATTGAGGCAGGGAAGGAAGAGGGCAGGTGATAGGAATAACTAATTAGGGGAGAGCAAACAGGCCAGATCATGACAATTTCAAGTTAAAAATGCTGCATGGGAAGATTTGATTGAGTTGTGATTAATTACAGATGAAAAAATGTGATAAAATAACAAAACAAGGCTTGCTCTAATGAATGGGAATAAGTGCAATGCTATCAAGTAAGTCATAAGTTTTCTGAATATATGAGCATGCACAAAAAGAAGTTCAGGGAAAAATTCATTGCTTTGTTTAGAGCAACTGAATGTGTTCTTTTAAACAAAAGGAAAACCATCTTTCTTTTTATAAGGAACACATGTATTTCTTGTAGCACACATTTTATCAATTGACTCATCAATTTTTTTCATTGTAAGTATTTTTGTAAGTATTTATCTTTTTGTAGTTACTATAGCTTCGCCATAGAAACACTATCGTCTGTAGAGCTTCTGTCTTCTATTAGATGGGACGCATAAGTTGTTGCTTTTTGATTTGCTGTTTTGTCCCAGGTCAAATCCACCTTAAATCTACAATTCATTCCTACTTAAAGCAGCTTTTGTAAACACTCCATGTTCCTTTCTGAAAATTTAACACATTACTATGTTTCTGCAGAAAGTACAGTATTCTAGAACAATTGAAATAAATATTGGAACACATTTCTCTTCTATTGAAACAGATAAGTTAAATATTTTAAGGCTTTAATTTTCCTTTAATTTTTATTTCACAGTTCTTGTTAATCCTCAAATGTTCAAGGAAAACCATGAAAAAATATCTGTATGAGCAGAAGAAATGTGATAGTTCAAAAGAAGAACTCAGAGAGCCATTACTTTATTAAGGATAATAAATGTTGTACAGATTATTTTATTTCTATAAATTAGTGGTATCGGTTACATCTGAGTCATTGTAATATTTGTATTATTCTACAAACAAGAATGTGACCAAAGAATTACAAAAAACATAAAAATAAGATTTAATTATCTAATTTTTTATTTTACATTGAAGGTTATATCAAAGTATTTCTAACATAGATTAGAATCAGTTACATTGCCAGATTGGCTCTATTTCAGCTTTTACTGATAAAAACAGGTACAGTTGAAACAGAAAAACTAATTAACAAATATAAAGCATTTAATATTGCTTTTCTACTTTTTATGCTTGTAGTGTCTAAGGGCAAACTGTACGAGATGCACAGACAAAAGCAAATGTTCTTGAGCAAGGGACATCATTCCAGTAATATTGGCTGCCATCATTGGTGTGTGCACAATGTTCATATCCATCAAAGTTGTTAGGGTTTCCTTGACTCCAAATGGAGAATCTGTGTTTGGACCCATCAGACCATATCCAGCCTCCCTCTCGATGAAAATCAGTGAGTCCAATCCAGGTGGGTCCCTGAATAGGATCAAAGTTCTTGATCAGCAAATTGACAAAGTCGTGTTCCTCCTGACTGTGGATGGACACCAGGTTGCCTTCCTCTGACACACATAGGAGCTCTGCATCACCCCACGTCACCCTTGAGCCAAAGTACTTGTAGCAGCGATCCCCGAAACTAAACCAGAACAATGGACAGCCACCACGCATCAACTTCAGTTCCTGTTTGTCTGCAGGAGGTTCAGCAGCCAGGGTCAGACCAAACAAGAAGAGGAACTGTATCATCTTAGAGCCTGGTGGCATTAGTAGAGAGAGATTGTTCATTCTTGATGCCGTTTATCTTAAGTGATAGATGATAAAGAGAAATATGTAGAGGTGAATGGAAAGCTGATTTCTTTTATATCCCCTCAGAAAGGGTGTGTTCACTGTTGACATGACACGATTGGCCAGTGCTCTAGTAAACATGCTGTACACAGAAAAATAGCTTTTGAATGTTTAAGCAGATTATCCATATGTATACATATCTATCTATCTATCTATCTATCTATCTATCTATCTATCTATCTATCTATCTATCTATCTATCTATCTATCTATCTATCTATCTTCTATATCATTAAAGTTTAAGAAATTCAAGTGTTCCACAGTTACTGGTCTATTTTCTTGCTTTGTCCCTGTTAATGTGAATGATACACATGGCACATGGTAGCTTTATCGTTTCTTATTCCATCATGAGGTTGCAAAAGTCAAGAGAGATAAGGTAGAGCCATACCTTTTATAAAAGATAAAACTTGGTATCTGATCCTCAGAAGACAAGAACCCAATTTAGATTAGCCAACACGATGTCATGTCATAAACCATTAGTTTCCTTATTGAGGATTAAACTGATGCATTTTGAACTGTTTGTGCGCATCCAAGCATTAAAGGATAAAACTTAACTTTTGTTTTTTTCTGTACAGATGCTGCTGATCATAGCCAGCCAAAGAACAGGGTGATCCCTAAAAAAATTTGGAAACAAAATAAAATCTCTTAAAACAGATTTGACTAAACCTACCAAGGCAGTACGTCAGTTACAACAGACAAAAATTTTCAATTGGTCAAGTAGACAGATGCTTTTAAAATTGTTTTTTTTTTTTTTTTTTNCTTAAAGTCATAAAACACAAGATAAGCTTTCACAGAATCGATGTGGAATGCGGGGGGCCTTTTTCCTGATTCAGTATCACACGATCCCAGATGTTTATTCTGGAAGACTTTTGACCTTCTGTAAACCAAGCAGACCTCTCCCCTGAGGCTCAAATGGTATTCGCCCCCCCAGGAGATACTCATTTTATGGCCTCTTGTGCTTTGAATACTTACCCATCAATAGTTTTTAAATCATTAACACAACCTTGTTCAGAATTAAGAAATATGGTCAAAATGAGAGTGTTCAACATACCTTTTACACATGCCATAAGATTAACTGTATTAAGGACTAAAAATAATCATTTTTCTTTAACAAAGGGCAGTACCTTTTATGGCAGCGAGGCCATGAACACCCTGTCCCCCCATGTATAATGTTTGTGTAATGTTTTTGTCTTCTCAGATGGGCTGTACCAAAACTAAATTTCACTTCGAGGATTAATACAGTATAATCGAATTGAATACCAATAAATTTTTTTTTATATAAATTGATGGTTTATGCAGTGAATGCTGCTGCAAATGATGGAATTAAATAAAATTAAACATTCAGTATCACACTAAAGTAGATATACTGTTGAGTTTCAACTGGGAAAAATCACCTTGAAATTTTTTATGCTTAGAAGACTTAGAAATCTATCCAAGGTTTTTTTTTCTTCATTATGTTGGGGAAGAAAAAAAAACAACAAAATCTAACCGATGTTGTTTTTTTTTCCATTGTATTGGTGGATAAAAAAAGGGACTTATAAAATTAAACCAATTTTTTTTTTAAACTAAGAATTTCAGTTAAGAGTCTAAACTAAGAGTTTTCCTCCACTCTGTTTTTTGATGTAGTTTGAGGTGAAAACCTCTTTAAGTTCCCCATCTATGTTCCATACAGCTCTTATTACTAAAACATAAATAAATATAATAATTAAAAGATTCATATTTAAATTGTTAACACATTATTTCTTACATCCATGTCTAACTTAAGTTCACTTATGATAAGCATTAACTGACAGCCAGTCTAAGGTTATCTGGGAAATACAGACTTCATCCGAAGAAAGAGCAGATATGATGTTTTCCTACAAATAAACTGGATCGTCTGTCAGGCTGTGTGGAGGTTTTGAGGACCCAAATGCAGAGAGGAGTAGGCACAGATGAGTTTGGATGATTTAATAAAAGTCCAGGGGGGACAGGGGCAAATATCCAAAATCCAAAAATACTGAAAACCAAACAAAAACCAATAAACATCAGGGAAAAAACTTGAGGGGAACAAGAAACTAGAAAGCAACAAAACATCTACAACTCTTCAATTCCGTTTATTTATATAGCGCAAAATCACAACACATGTCATCTCAAGTCACTTTACAGTTCACCAGATCAAACAGTCAAATTGATTCAAAGTTTTCTATCTAGTGAGCGGCCATCTTCTGAGGCCGACTTGGGTTTAAGGAGGTAGAAGCAGAGATATAAAAAGCAGCTGTAAAAGGCGGCACCGTCCAGGAAACACACAGCCAGGGAGACGGGCTCTGAACCAACTCCCATGTCAGAGGATTAACCCCTTGCTCACACTGGCTCCGGTGCGGTTACCGAGCCGACGGAGACCGCAACTCCCGCACACCCCCTCTCACACCGCCCTTTTGACTATGGTGCGGTGCGGCTCTGCGGCTCCGGTAACAGGTCCGGAGAT